CAGTTTATTTTTAGGTGGAGAGAAACTCTTAAACTAAGGTTTTGCTTTTATGCCAGTACCATACTACTCACTGCTAAAGGGGACGGGGAGAGAGAGCCTGAGAAGCAGGATTGTTTGGGAACCATATTTTTCAGAACTCTCTGGGAGGGCTCCTTGGCAGTGAAAGCTCAGGCTTCTGTGAGTTCATCTCACAGCCATAAAGTTCTTAGGAGGGGGAAATAAAGGTCATTGTACAATCCTCATTTGGGGGACGGCAGTGCTCACGCACACTATAGCATTTAGCTAACAATGCATTTATGTACAATGATATTCAAGCAGCTGCAACAACTTGCTTTTATTCTTGCCGAGTTACCCAGTCTAACAGCTGGGATGGAGGCTTTTTCAGAGGCATTAGGCAGGTTGGTTACCTGGCTACTTAATATTAACTCCCCCAAAAGCAGGGAAGTTCAGTTCCAGAAAGTCATTGTATGTAGATCTCTTGTAGCTGGACCCAAATTCCTGATGGGTTCATAAAATGATGATAATTAACTTGTGCAGTTTACTAGGGAGGACTGATACCCATACAGTTGGGTGGTGTGCTGTATGTAGACTAACATCTTTTTAAACGGAAAGATCCAAAGTTGTATAACTGCATTTTAAAATATATTTTACCTGCTGTGGTCAAGTATCAGGGCTTTTTCTTCTTTCCTCTACCCCCTTCTCCTCCTCTTCTTCCCCACCCCCCTGCAAAAAATGCTTCCTATGCAAAACATTCTTATGCTGGTTCTTTTAATTTTCAGTGGTCAAGTGTCCAGAGCCAGAAGTCAAAAATGGAAAAAAGCAATCTGGGTATGGACTCCATTATTCATATGGAAACACCGTAATATTTGAATGTGATTCTGGCTACACTCTGAAGGGTAGCAGTTCAGTTAAATGTGAAGCTAACAATTCATGGTTTCCATCTTTGCCAACTTGTCTACGTAAGTATAAGCAGTTGTGTTGAACATTTTATATGCTAATGTCTAGGAAGCTTATTACATCATTATAACATGGCTCCTCCAAAGTGAAGATTGCGTGACCGGGTTCCCTTTTTGGCTAATGAAAAATACACAAA